CTGATTTATCCAACTTAAACGTCGCAATTACCAGAATCGTAGTGTTGAATAGATTTGGTAATTAAAATTTTACTTACCTATACCAATATCTCACTTGCTTATTCGTTTGTTACTAAAGTTTACCATTTTACTTTAGGAAATTCAGGCTCAATATGTTTACCCGTAACAAAAGAACTGCAAGATAAAGATCTAGCAGATGAGCGAGGTATCGTAGCTGGCTGGGGTTTGGTCAACAGTACAACTAAATCTAATATTCGTCTTAAAGTTGAATTGCCTATATTCTCAAAAACCACGTGCAACATTTATTACAAAAGGTGAGGAAACACAAAACCAATATGATTTTAGTTTTAAAGCTTATTTTAAGTACTGCAGTAAAAAGAGCTAGGCACTATACGATAAGCGTCGGTAGCTCAGAAGTTCAAGGACACGACTTCCAATCTACAGTTCTTTTGTTCGAATCCCGCTATGCATTAATGTAGTTTTCGATTTTTATATGTACATAATTTACCGGACGCTCTTATGGTAAAGGAAAACATGGCGGTGCAACGAAGAAAATTCAAGTGAAGTCAATCAATACTCACTAGGCCAGTGTGGTTGACTAAGTCCTAGTCACCCCTAACTTTGGTAGGCTCTGAGCCCCTCCGTGGGAACGTAAAGAGCTGATGATGATGTTGATGGTGAAATGAATTTATGACTCAACAATTTATGATTTTAATTGTATTTCTTTTCAGATCTTCACGATCGAAAGGAATTAAAAGAATGACAAATACGTTTTGTGCTGGTGAAGTAGGTCACGATTCTTGCAAAGGTGACTCTGGGGGACCTATGATGATTGAATCATGGTACGATAATACGTACAAATTTGTTCAGTATGGTATCATGTCTTATGGGCCTCAGCAGTGCAGCTCAGAAAAACCTGGAGTATACACTGATGTACGAAAATTCGTAAAATGGATTTTGGATACAATTGAACCATAAAATTAATGAAACAAATATATATTTCATTTAAATTACTTTATTTGTTGACTTTTCATTTCTAGAAACATCCTGATTAGCATATAATATATTCAGACAGAGCTAAGATGAAACAAATGTTTAGTTAATATTTTTACCATATGATATAACTGAATAAGCGGTATTACACAAAAAACAACATTGAACACTTATAAATAACTAGCTGTTGCCCGCGACTCCGTCTGAAAACATACGAACTATAGAAATAACAAAAAGCTACGTATCCCTCGGTAACCGGACATTTCTCGGGTATGAACCCTAATCCCGTGTGTACTCTAGACTTTGTTTTATATATGTGCCAAATTTCAATAAGACATGTTGAAGCTGCAGAATTATCAAATAAACATTAAAAAACTAAATTGTTGAATCCCACGGGCACCGTAACTATTTCCGGGATTAAAAGTAACCTATGTGTTCTACCAGACTATGCTCTAAACCTGTGCCAAATTTCATGGAGATCCGTTCAGCCGTTTAGGCTACAAACGCTAACAAACATCAATCCAACCATCGTAACTTTCGCACTTATAATACTTATATGATTATAACTTGAGAAATGCTAAGAACAAGCCATAACCTCCCTTCTCAAGTGTTTTACTGTTCTTCGCTTTCAAAAAATAATACTCAACAATTACCTAACGCAATTCATAAAGAAATTATGTAGAACATTATGTGTTCTGAGAATAGGGTAGGAAATAAAATTCCCAGACGGTATCGTTTTTAATTTACAACGCTCGAAATATTAAGCTCGTAATAAAAAAAATAAAAATAACTATATAATAAACATTCGTTGTCAACTTAAATTACATAACAATAAAAAAACATCGTAAAACTAATAACAACGACGTGTTAGCAACAAACGCACACGAATTGCGTGTTTTTGATAAAACGAGTAACTTATTAATAACTTTCTATTATTTTAACTTGAATGTTGTTAGTTTATGAGTTTGATGGATGTATTGTAACATGATGGGATATATAAATAGTTTTTTTTAGACTAAACTAATTAAATAAGCAATTTTACTTAAGTAACGAACTAATCGATAAATCTGTGCTTAGTTCTGTATAAAAATTAAGTAATCATTTAGTAGACAGGTGTATCTATCTATATTTAGTAGGTTTTTTGCTAAATATAGACCGAAGTCCTTTATAGATGTTTCTTATAACAAATTAGTGCGGAACATAGAAAAAAGTTGAGAAGCAATTAGTGAAAAAGTATTTAGAAGGTTTCCCTTATTTTTGACCGACTTCCCAAAAGGAGGTATTCAATTCGACGGTATGTTTTTTTTTTTTTATGTGTG